AAAAAAAAAAAATTTTAATCTGAAGTTAGAATTACCTTTAAAATAGCTGCTAACATTTACAAAGACTGCCAGGTATGGTGGTGCACACCTGTGATCCCAGCACTCAGGGAGGCTGAAGCAGGAGGGCCATGTGTTTAAGGGCGGCCTGAACTATGTAGTGAGACCCTGTCTCAAAAACAAAAGAAAATAAAATACTAAGCACATTTTAAACTTCTAAAAACATTTTTAAAAGCCTGAATAATACCAAGAGGCACAGAAATGAGTCCGGGGAAGGAAGGACAGCAGGAAAGGAAGATCTTTGGGAGCCGAAGCCTTCACTCTCCACTTTGTCAGGCGTGTCCTACCCACAGTGGTTCTGAGCGCCCGTGTCCTTCGGGCCAGCTGGGCCCGGCTGCTGGGTTGGCAGGGACAACCATGCTCTTCATTCTTCATTGGGCTCAGGAGAGAGGGCTGCATGCATTTGGCCCCTTAGTAACCTGTTGTTGGGAATCCTGTTGTTTCTGTCCCCGCTGCTGGAGGTGGTGTGGGGTGATCCCATCCTCAGATCCCATCCTTAGATCATAACGCAGGGCCTAGAGGCCTCTGGCCGCCTGCCTGGCCTGAGAGAGTCCACATAGAGGCTCCGTGTTGCACACAGTCATGTTTTAGCTCCTAACTCACTAGGAGGAGAGCAAAGAGTGGCAGCCCCACAAAGACCTTCATGTCCCTTGGCCTACAGAAGATGGCGCCTGGAGCTGGTGTGACGCCTGGCACAGCCTGCCAACAACGGGGCACAGGACAGGCCATTGGGCCATGGCAGCCTCAGCTGCAGCAAGGACAAGAGGGGCCAAGGGCTGCTCATGCCAACCATCACCCCAGGAGCCACCACTCCTTAGGCTTCTAACGCCCAAGGATCTGGTTTTCAGGAGCTCGGGGCTTTGGTTCTGGAGAATAAAGGCGTTGACGGTAGAAACATTCTTTCCTCCAGATCTACAGAGCTGGATTCCAACTGGTCATGGTTTCAGCTGCGGTGCATGCAAGTGGGAGGAAATGCCAATGCCGTAAGTTCACCCTGACATCCCCGCCCTCTTGCTACGCCCTGGGTCACTGCAGAGAGCTGCCCACCCTGTGCATTCGGAGCCCTCGGGCTGCTTTATTGAGTGTATTGAGCCCTGTGAACCCGAGGCTTTGGGCAACCTTTCAGGCACATGGAAAGAAATCAGGCCTCTCCTGTGGACAGTGAGGGTCAGAGTGTGGTCACAGAGGATAAGCAGAAAATAGCATGGTGGTAAATGCTTGCAGAAAATGCAAGGGCTGGACATGTAGTGCGTGCAAACGCCCAGGGCTCAATCCTCAGTGCCACCACAGACAGGGTGCGGCACCCACGTCCAACCTACGTCCAACCTACGCACCACACTTTTGGCTTTTTATATATTTTACATACAACCCAAGACAATTCCTCAAAAAAGAGGTAAAAAAATAAAGAAAAAGATAGTCTGCAGGCTTGACATGGCTGACAGAGGGACCGGAAGCATCTTTATGACTACAGTTTTTCTACTAAATGTAGCATTTATGCTTAGAAGGCATCACATGTACTTGAATTAGTTTTTAATTTATTACATCTACAAATTTTAAAAAACTGGTAATACAGCAGACAAGTGTTACATGTTATAAACTAAGTGATTTAAAAGTGATTTCCTGGGTCAGGGAGATAGCTCAGTAGAATAAGTGCTTGCCAAGCACAGGGTCTTGAGTTCAATCCTCGGTACTGCATAAATAAATAAGATTTCCTTAATTGCATTTACAAACATACTTAACCAGGGCTGGTGAGATGGCTCAGGCTGGTGAGATGGCTCAGTGGTCTAAAGCACCTACTTAGAACAAGCTAAGCTAAGCAAAGCACAGGGACCGAGGTTCAATCCCCAGCACCACATGCCAGCCAGCCCCGCCCCCTGGTGGGCTGAGCTGGCCACACACACACTAAATAAATAAATAAAATTTTTAAAAAAAATTTAATAAAAAACATACTTAACCATCCACAAACATATAAATTTAATCTGTCAGATTCTCTGAAACATTCCCAGCAAAACCTTGTGAAACACTATTTAAGATGAAAAAAAGGTTTAGAGCAAATAGAATTCCCTTAGAATACTGTTAAAGTGTAACACACTCTTATTAGTATACATTTCAAGTAAAAATGATGCCTAGGGCCAGCCAGATAGGTGAGCGGGCTAAAGCGCCTGCTTAGGCAGAGCACAGCTGCAAACCGTGTTCAAACCCAGGCAGGTCCTGCCGGCCCTGCCCCAGGGTGCGCTGAGACAGGGACTGAGGCTGGGCGGGGTGGCACGCACCTGTAATTGCAGTGCGGGGAAGGCTGAAAATGGGAGAATCACCATGAGTCTGATCTACGTAGTGAGGCCCTAGGCCACATTTCTTTATCTTTTTAAAAAAATTTTAAACTTTGGTTGGGTTTAATTTTCCCTAATGAGAGAAATAAGAATACTGAGGTATGTGGTCTGTCAGGTGGGTTTTGGAGAGCTACAAACCAATTTTCCTTCCATTTTCTAAGAGAGCACTTCCTGGCCTCCTAAGAACATGTGTCTTAGAATTAGACATGCTAGGTGTCGCCTCAGTACCCTTGGCCTATGGCCCTGCACTGCAGACTCAGCAGTGCTCCCCTCCCAGCGGTCTGCGTTTCCTCCTAGGGCTAAGTCTTCCAGCGGAGAGCGCCCTGGACCTTAGCTGGCCAGGGCAGCGCAGGGTAGGCAGGGGCTCAGCTTGAGCAGGTCGCCCCACTGTGAGGGTGGCCTTGGCCAAGGTGTCGGATTTCTATGCGTGGCATTCCCTACGCCTTTAGTGAGATAGCAGTGGGGACTGGTAATGTCACTGTGCAGTGCTGCCCATGAAGAGGGCTGGGGAAATAGCTCAGTAGAATAAGTGCTTGCCTGCAAGC